GCACAGCTAGGCATGCCTTCAGAAAGAGCTGGATCCCGAGCCAGGCTGGATTTCTGCTTTCCTGGGCATGCCAGCCTCATCATTCCGCCCTTCCTACCCACAATAGGAAATACTTGCTTCCAGTTTCTACCTTAAGACTAAACTGATGCCTTCTGGGCAGGCATTCAAAGACCATGGTGAAGCCAGGGCTTGCCAGGTCGGGTGAGATTTATCTTGATCCAACAGCATAACCTTGGGGCTGGCCAGGGTGTCAGTATGTGAGATCCACAACATGAAATCCAGAGTTAGAGCTGAGAGGATTGCAACCGCCACAAAAGGAAACCTTGGGGGCGGGGTCTGTATTTAGGGAGATATCATTTTCGTGGCACAGAGGGGCAGAGCCTGTATGAGAGCCCTGGAAGCCAGGGTGGGCCTGCAGCATAGAGTAGGGTGATACAGGGAACTGGGGCAGCCTTCTGTGAGGTTGTTTCCCCTTCGGTCTTCTCCACAGGGTCCTCCACAAAGTTTGGCAGCATTTCTTTGCTGCTGTAAATTGCTCCAACCTGAAGAAATGCCAACACATTAGTGTGTGTGAGAGAATAAAGAACAACTGGACTTTGTTCAGGGGGTTCCAGGAACAGTCTTGTTTCTGTGGTGAGGATTATTATTATTGTTGTTTTTTTCTTGAGACAAGGTCTCACTATGTAGCCCTGGCTGTCCTGAAACTATGTAGCCCAGGCTGGCCTTGAACTCACAGAGATCTGCCTGCCTCTGCTTCCCAAGTGCTGGGATCAAAGGTGTGTGTAGCTATGCCTGGCTTAATTTTAAATGATAAGGTTGGCTCTAAAGGCTCTCCCGCACATGTTCTTGGAGTGCCCTCTAAAAGATGGGTACGAGGCACATGGAGGAAGCTACTGGAGCACCATGCATGGACTTTCATTTTCTACTAATCTTTCTTTTACAGAGCTGGTGTTTAGTTAGGGAATTTTGTTTCCTGTTTTTAAATGTATTGAGTTAGCTGTTTTAACTTATTGTGAATTCTCCAGTATTTAAGGTACAGGACTAAATTTTGAAAACGAGCTGCACTTCAGTGGACAGATGCTCCAAGGTGTAGTGAGTTTTGACCTGGAGGTGCAATACTTGAGCATTCTGAGACCACCACCAAGGCTTCTCTGCAGACTGTTTCTGCTGTATAGATCCCCGTACCCTCTCCATGTGTTCCCAGTTTGTCTGTCCACAGTTCAAAGCGTGGCATCACATTTACTGCTGAATGCTTTTTGAGGCTCCTGCTAAGGCTCCTGTCCTGTCTGAGTCCCCGGAAGTGTGAAATGTGTCCTCTTGAGGAACAAGAGCGTGATTGATCTCTTCCAGAGTCAGTGAGTCTGATGTTTGTGTTTCTCTGATGTGCAGTGAGTTTTGACTTCTAGTTGAACACTTTACCTTTTTACTTTTTGCATTCATGTGGTTTTCCTGAGGCTCTGACTTAGAATGATTTCTAAGGTTTTCTACTGACTGCACTACATGGATTCCTCACCAGCTGAAGTTACTGACTAGAATCCTGGCCTCCTGCCAAATCCCACACTTCCTGTCCAGTTATCCTTGTCCTCTGGTGGGAATTCCTTAATACACAGTGAGTTCCACCTGCCTCCTATGGCTTCCTCATATGCACTCCATTGTTGGTTTTCTCCACATCATGACCAGTTTTGTACAGAGTGATAGAGCCTCTGTTATTGGGAGCTTGTCATATTGAATACATCCATGAGGTGTCTTTCCTTTCTGAATTCTTCAGTGTATCCAAGTTGTGACTTAGTTGTGAAGTTTTTGTCACATGTATGACATGCTTGCTTCTTGGGAACTTACCCCCAATATTCCATTATACATATTGCTTTTCACTTTACTGAGTGAATTCTAGTTAACAAATATAATATTCTCCAGAAGTTTGACTTCAGTTTTCTGTTGCTTCTTTAGTATTCAGTTCGCAGAGTTTCCTCTTAAATGTAACAAAATGTTCAATTGCATATAAATTTCTTCCATCATCTAAAGAATGAACAATCTTCAGAAATACCCTTAACTGTGTAGCATGGTGGTACATGCTGGAGACAGTAGAGTCAGGAGTTGAAAGCCAACCTCAGCTACATGGTTGATTCAAGGCCAGCCTGGGCTATATGAGACCCCCATTTCAAGAAACAAAGAAAATCAACAGCAAAAATGAAATACTCTTCATTATTCTTAATGCTTTTATTTCTAAATGTAAAAATTTCCCTAAATAGTTTTCATCTCTTGAGATTTAGAGGTGGGGGCTGCTTTGAGTGTTAGATGGACAGAAATGAAATGCTGATAGTTTTCATTAGTATATTTGGCAATGAAGTAACTTCATCCAGGGGATCCAGCTCCCTCTCCTGGCTTCCAGAGGCACTAGGCAAGTGCAATATACATACATAAACATGCAAGCAAAATACCCACACACGTAAATAGCAAACAGAGAAAACTTGAGATTAGGTCCAGTCTACCACTTACTAGATGGGTGACCTTGGCCAGGATAATTCATTTCTTGGTGAACAACACCACAGTTTCCTTGGAGGCATCAGATCCCCTGGAGCTAGAGTTACAGGCAGTTGTGACCCATCTAATGTTGGTGCTGGGAGTCCAATTCCAGTCCTCTGGAAGAGCAGGAAGTGCTTGTAATTTCCGAGCTAACCTCTAGCCACCAGAAGGCCATTTGGAAAGCAGTCAGTGGACACAGAAGAAGGTGACAGGTTGGGATATGCAACTTAAGATTGACAGGGCCAGGCAATCTTAGGTAAATGGGAAAGGAACCCAGAATAAAACCAGGGGAGTTGAGAAAAGAAGAAAACTAGAGAAATTTGAAAGGGCAGGTAGTTCCAGTGGCTGCTTGTGGGAGTCCACAAACACAAGGACACTTTAGATGGAACACTCCCCAACCCTCCCTTGAGCAGAATGACACTGGCACTTCTGATGTGTCTTCCCGCTGGGCAGCTCAGCAGGATAAAGGAAAGCTCTGAAGGGAGGTGGCTCTTCAGCTCCCCGGAGTCCAGATGAGGAGACCAAGGAGACTGACATTGCAAGCAGGCTCAGCACTTCCTCCACACAGTCACAGGCAGGTCACCAGAAGACAGTATCCCAAGTGTTGGGAGCCATCTCTGCACACTGTGTGGAGCCCAGAGGGCAAATGGGATGTGTGGTGAGAGCTTCTGAAGACGTGCCATGGACAGCTTGCTAATTGTAATCCTGAAAGGTCCCAAGCACTGGTCCTTCTGCCATGGTTTGGGCACATAAGTGGTCAGTCATTAAGACTATGACATCTAGAGATGGAAAGAATTGCTCTTCCTAGCAACTGCCTTGAAATTAACCTGACTAGCAGGGGGTGGGGAAAAGCCCTTTTCAATAACCTGAAGTCTTGTCTAAAACCAGGCAGATCAGAAGAGAGCACGTAGGAGAAACTTTTTTTTTTCTCTGAGACAGGGTATCTCTCTCTATAGACCTGGCTGTCCTCAAACTCGGAGATCTGCTTGCCTCTACCTCCTAAGCACTGGGATTAAAGGCCTGCACCACCACTCCTGGCTAGAGGACACACTTATCTCAAGGTTCCTGGAAATGCACTCTAGGGGTCAAAGGTGATGCTGAGGTAGTCCCATCACCCATGTAGATAGTTCATGCTACTTCAGATTAGAAAAGGACAGAAGAGTACCCAGGCAATGGGTCAAGGTGGGACAACACACTGTCAACCACCTGGCAGGACATCATAAAGCCACTGTCCAACCAAGCACCACTACAAGACATTCAAGTTGGCCCAGGTATATTTAACAGGCTATTTACTGCCTTTCTGCTCCCCAGAAAGGGAAGAGTGAATGACATGATTTCAGAAGCTACACCTGAGGAAGATAAGTTCCGAGAACAAGAGACTGCGGCCCCTCTCCTAGCCTGTCACTAAGGAAAAGGAGACGGTTACCCTGACACAAGGGCAGTGCTTGCCATCTGGAGGCAGCACTTTCATTATTAACAAAAAGATGAACAGCAAACTCAGAAATGTGACTCTCAAGCTGGACACTTGGGAGCCCAAGGCAGGAGGATTGCCATAAATTTGAGGCCACCTTGGACTTAGTGAGTTTTGGACAGGCTTGGCTTACAGAGATCTTTGTCTCAAAACAAGCCAATACAAAACAAAAAGGAACTTGAAAACTCTCAGAGACTCAAGGTAAAGGCAAGGGAGGGTTTGTGTGAGTAAGGACCCAGCAGGTCATATGGATAGTGCGGAAAGCAGACCTGAGTACCAGGGAACATGGTGCTGCAGGTTAATTCACAATCTGCAAGTCCAGCCACGTGAGACTGCGGGTGGGTGCCTGCACACACACCCTTGGTAGTGCCACGTAACTTCTTGAAATGCCCCTTTACACACATAATGGAGGACATACGTTTTCAGTCACTTAACATGAGAGGACTGGCCCACATAGGTGGGCTTTATTTGCTGAAAATTGAACTTGGCTTTGAGGTGCCCAAAGCTTCCAGGTTTATGCAACAACCTAGAGTCTGACATGATATAAAATTTCCTTTTCTTTAACTGTACCACTTTAGGGAACAAGACTGCCGAGCTTCAAAAATGGCACTTCCATAAACCAGGAAGCAGGAACTTCCCTCCTGGTTTATTGGCTCCTCCATCTTCATTGTGGAGTACATACCACCTTGCAGTAGTACAGGTCCTTTGTTCCTTTTGGTGTGGGAGAGTGTCCCCAGGGCCTGCATATAGGAAGATGCATGGTTGTGACTGGGATTTCTACAACAAAAATATTGAGGGATTAGTGATGGTGAAAGTCCTGCCTGTAGGATTAGCCTGTCACAGCCTTTTGGGCCTGGATCTGGCCCTGGCCAGAGAATGTCAATGGTGCTACTGTTCATCTCAGGACCCATGGAATTGCTTGATATGTTATTCAACACTATTAGAACAAGAGTCTTTAAGCGGTGGGATGCCCCAATGGAGGAAAAGAAATGAACTTTCAAACATATAGGCAGAACTTATAGGCATATTGCTTTTACAGAACACAGAGTTAATACCTTCAGAAACCCAGACAAAAGCTGGACAAGGACCAGGATGCACAGTTCAATAATATGGGAGTGGCAGATACACTCTAATTCAGTAGCTACAGAAGAGTGACCAGGAACAAGTCATGGGTCAGAGCACCTGAACACTGGCCTTAGTCTCTTGTCAGCTGTATATGGGGAGATGACAAGTCACAAAAGTGGAAGTGGCCAGGAATACCAACCACAACTAGATGGTAGGGACTATCCCACATGAAATTGATCAAGCCCCTGACTCCTGTGGACAGTGTAACTTTACTATGGTTTGGAATGGCTAGAGGGCAATGGCTACCAGGGAAAAGCCCTTATGTAGGTATTACCAGTATCGTAGTTAGCTGAGGTCTTGTACAACTGAGTGATACAATACCTTTGAAGGCTCTTTCCCTCCAGAAAGAGACTTTGAGTTCTGAAAGCTAGATTTGGGTGTGAAATCGAGTATCATGGACACTACCAATTTTGCAATTCAGATTTGCATTATGAATGAGGTCCATGGTGGTGATAACAAGGAACACGGTAATAACAGTTAGAGCTAAGTCAGAAGAGGGTCACACGATTCAAGTGAACCTTCCCAGGAGAACACATGGAAGAAGCAAGTGGACAGGTAAACCAGGAGATTTGACAAAAGGTGGCTGAAACAGAAGCAGAACCATGAGAAGCATGATTTAAATGATTCTTGACTCATGCATGGGTGACTGACAGCAACTTCTCTAAACTAGGCATCGGGATGTGGGTGAGGGGAGACAAAGGGTTATGTAAAAATGGCAACTTTCTTATAGAAGAAAATTTAGAATAAAATTCACCATTTTCTTACTTTTCATTTGCTTCTCACTCTTAATTTTTATAATTTTATAATTATCTTAACAAACTACAAATTTGATAAACTGACATTTATACTTTTAATGAAGTTTCATTTTGGTTCTAATACTTGGTAATTCAGGCCAATTTAAAAAAAGTACTACTATCAGTACAACTAATAGCAGTACTAAAGAGAAAGGTGTGTTTGCCATCCTTAACAGTCTCAAAACCCATGGCACCGTGAAACTTGGCTCCTAGTAAATACAACCATCCTAATAAAAGACTCAATTGTGATCCTTTATGTTTTCTCTTATATTCAATAATTAATGACATCAATCCCACAGTACTTCCATATGAGCGGCATTCATACATATCATTTTTCTCCAATATGATGCCTCTGATGCTGGATGAGGTTTGCAGTCTGGTTGAAGGCTTTCCCACACTTGTTACATTTATAAGGTTTCTCTCCTGTGTGAATCCTCTGATGCTGAGTGAGGTGTGTGCTTCGTATAAAGGCTTTCCCACAGATTTTACATTTGTATGGTTTTTCTCTTGTATGAATTCTCTTATGTTGGGTAAGGGCTGAATGGTCACTGAAAGCTTTCTCACAGATGTTGCACATGTAAGGCTTTTCTCCAGTGTGAATTCTCTGATGCTGTGCCAGGGCTGACTGGTCCCTAAAAGCTTTCTCACACAAGCCACATCTGTAAGGTTTTTCTCCAGTGTGAATTTTCCGATGCCTCGCAAAAGATGAATTGTCCCTGAATGCTTTGCCACATTCACTACATTTATATGGTTTCTCCCCAGTGTGAATTCTCTGGTGTTCAGTAAGGGAAGAGTTCACCCTGAAGGCTTTTCCACATTCACTGCATTCAAAGGGTTTCTCTCCAGTATGTATTCTCTGGTGCTGAAGAAAACTTGTACTCTGATTGAAGGCTTTCCCACATTCATTACATTTATAGGGTTTCTCACCACTGTGAATGTTCTGGTGTTTGGTAAGATGTGCTCTGCAAACAAAAGCTTTGTCACAAATGTTACATTGGAAAGGTTTCTCTCCAGTATGTATTCTATGATGGTGGGAGAGATGTATGTTTCGGATAAAGGCTTTTCCGCAGACGTTGCATTCAAAAGGCTTTTCTCCAGTATGGATTTTCTGGTGGTAGGTAAGTGAAGAGCTCACGGAGAAGGCCTTGCCACAGTCCTTACATTCATATGGTTTCTCACCAGTGTGAATTCTTTGGTGATGGATAAGGTGTGTACTCTGGTGAAAGGCTTTCCCACATTCTCTACATTCATAGCGCTTGTCTTTAATAGGCATTTTCTGACTTGTGTTGAGTTTTTCAGTATGAATTTTCTGATGTTTCTTAAGGGTGGAACTCTTAGAGAAGGCTTTTCCACACTCACTGCATTCCAAAGCTTTTTTGCTTGCTTGAGATCGCTGACTTTGAATGGGTAATGAGCTCCCCGCACAGACCTCAGAGGCCTCGACTTTCTGCCCACTAAGCGTTGATGGAGTGCACTGTTGGGTGAGGACCACTTGCCGAAACCTGACCTCCTGACCTTCCTGGTACGGCCAGTCTAACAGGTTAGCACATTCCCAGTGAGTCCCTCTGGTGACTCTCTCCTTCATTATCCACTGATCCGATTCTTTTTTAGGAATATCTGCCCTGAGAAATTTCTTACTCGTGGTCATTGTAATCCCTCCTGAAAGATATTGAAAACAGAAACGTCACTTTTACGCTGGTGAAGCAGCTTGATGGAATGAAATGAACAGCCTGTTAACAATGCTAACAAAGAAACTGCAGCTGAAGACTTAAAGGGGTAATTTGAAGGGGAAGAGCCAGAGATGGGAACACAGGAGTATGGTGGAAGTTTATCTAATGCTACACCCGAGGCAGGAGTGTTTGGGAGCTCGATTTCAAAGGTCCTGCATCTGGGTTGCAATTCTGAGAACAGTATTCATTTTGTTTGTGACTAAATAGATTTTATCTGACCTTTAAAGCTCAAAAATATCTAATATAGGCCAAGCTTGATTCATGCTTGTAATCCCAACATTTGAGAAGTTGAGGCAGGTGGACCACCACAAGTTTGAATCTAATGTGGGTTAAAGAGTAAGATTTGGGGGATGCCTGTGATTGGATTGGTGACTATCCCAGTTGTCATCAGAGAGCCTTCATCCAGTGACTAATGGAGGCAGATTCAGAAACCCATGACCAAACATTGGGTTAAGCTGGGGGAGTCCTGATGAGGAGAGGGAGGAGGGATTGTAGGAGTCAGGGACCCCTCAGGGACATCGCAGGAAAACCCACAGAAAAGGGTAGCCTGACTCATAGGGACTCACAGAGTCTGAACCAACAACCAGGGAGTCTGCATGGGACTGACCTAGGCCCCTTGTATATATGTGACAGTTGTGTAGCTTGGTCTATTTGTGGGACTCCTGTCAATGGGAGCAGGGGCTGTCCCTGGTGCTTTGGCTAGCTCTTGGGAACCTGTTCCCCATGGTGGATCACCCTGCCCAACCTGAATAGGGGCAGGTGCTTGGTCTTATGGCAGCTTGATATGCCATGCTTTGCTGATGCCCATGGGAAGCATGCCCCTTTCCGAGTGAATACAGAGGAAGGGTAGGTAGGGGGAGGAAAGAGGGGTGGGTTGGGGGGGGAAGGAAAGTGGGGAAGGGAGTGGGAGGGGAGGAGAGAGGGGAGGCTTCAGCCGGGATGTAAAATAAATAAATAAACAAATTTAAAAAAAGATTTGGGGGATAAGAGATGGCTTAGTGGTTAAGAGCACTGGCTGCTTTTCCTAAAGATCCGGGTTTAATTCCTAGCACCCACATAGTGGCTAATGTATGCCTGTTACTCCAGTTCCAGGGCATCCAATGCTCTCTTCTGGCCTTTGCATGTACCAAGCACACATGTGGTACACAGACATACACACAGGAAAACACACACACACACACACACACACACACACACACACACACACACACACACAGAAATAATAATAAAAATCTTTTTTAAAGAAAGAGAGAGAGGATTCTGTCTCCAAAAATGAGAGAGAGAGAGAGAGAGAGAGAGAGAGAGAGAGAGAGATCATAAATTTGGGTGGGGAGAATCTAAAAGGGAGGAGAAAAAACCATGATCAAAATAGATAGTATGAAAAAAATTTAATGAATCAAAGAAAGCACACAAAAATACAAAAAAGACTTAAAAATGGTTGTGGAATATTATTTTAAGGTGTGTTACTTTTGTTTATATTGCATTTGTTTAACTCTGTGAAGCTGTGTTACTGTGCCTGTCTAAAACACTTGATGGTCTAATAAAGAACTGGCCAATAGCAAGGCAGGAGAAAGGAGAGGTGGGGCTGGCAGACAGAGAGGATATATAGAAGGAGAAAACTGGGAGGAGAGATCTAAGCTCTAGGAGCCAGAGAAGGAGGAGGACTCCAGGGGCCAGCCACCCAGCCACACAGCAAGCCACGGAGTAAGAGTAAGATTTACAGAAGTACAAGAAAAGGAAAAACCCAGAGGCAAAAGGTAGATGGGATAATTTAAGATAAGGAAAGCTGGCTAGAAACTAAGCCAAGCTAAGACTGGGCAATTGTAAGTAATAATAAGCCTCCGTGTGTGATTTATTTGGGAGCTGGGTGGCGGGTCCCCCCAAAAAGACCAAACACCAACTAACAACAAAAAAATCTCTAATGTAGACCATACTATGCTAAGATATAAGGGGCATGTGTGTCTGTGTTGTCCAGTATAGGGTCTTTATGACAACTCCAATGTTGCCAAAACAAAACTCTGAACTTAGAGGTCAACACTCGGTGGGAAGAAACCCTCAAGACTGAAACCAATGTTTTTATGTTTTCAAGACTTATTTGAGTATTCAGATAATCAGAAGTTAACTTGCCCCCTAGGCTGCGTGAAATGCTCAAGTATACTAATGAAGTAAGGATGTTCAACTGCATATACAGAAGCAATGTCCCCAACCATTGTGACATCTACATAAGGAAAACACCACAGTGACACTAAAGTGAGCAGAGGAACCTAGGAACAAAGTCCCCTTGCTAGACAGCATCTAGTATCTCTAGGAATCGGAATCTGTGAATCTGGGGGAAGGAGCATAATGGTCACGTACAAATGGAATTTTCAGTGGAAAAGTAGATATAGCCCCATGGATTATCTGACCAAATAATCCCTTGCTGTCCATGACAATTCCACACCTAGTCAACAATCTTCACTTGGGCTCTGGGGTATCGTGATATTCTGCAGGCAGACTTGAGACTGTGTGCCATTTTCTGACTTCTAACGGAAGTCTATGTAAAGCTTTGAAATATGCGATACTGAGGGCTGGATAGGAAACATGGATGATGTAGGTTCATGGAGATCCTATCGGGAACAAGCTCTCCTTAGCATTTCCCTCTCCCACTCACCCCAGATAATCTTCGATCGAGAACCACAAAACAAACATAACTTTAAAAATTATGTAGAAAAGAAAAGCGAGCAGGTGCATTGTAAGGCTTAAATCATGAGCTCGGAAGACATGCCCTTACTTTAAACAGACATGGTCAACGCTAAAGTCCATCTGGGGCATCACAGAAGAGTGACGGGGCCAAAGGATGTCTGGGAAGTGGCTCAAGAGGTCATGTGACCGGACCCGTAACAGGTAAAAACAGGTCTTGTCAATGCACACCACGGAACCCAGAAGACAATGAAACAACATCACAAGTGTTAAAAGAACCTCACTGCCAAGCTCAAAAGAGAAAACACTTCTAAAGGGTAAACACGAAATAGACATTAGCCTCCAAAGACACGAGAGACAGTGTCCACAGCAGGCCTCTGTTCCAAGGAAACCTGAGTGTCCCTGACGGATGAAAAAAGGAAACACGTGGAAGTACAGAAATGGAGGGAATAAGTAGTAGAAAAAGTGAATTTTGGATAATAAATACTGATTACATTATATAATGATTATACTGCCTTAAGATTTGTAGAAATAAAATATACAGGAAAAAATCATGACGGAACAACACAAAAGAGGCCACAGGGAACATTTAATACTGAGAGGTGCCAGCACTGTTGGGGAATTTTTTTTTTTTTTTTTTTTGAGACAGCACAGCATCTCAGGTATCCCAGGCCAGTCTTTAACTCACTATGTATTGGACAATGACCTTGAACTTCTAACCCTCTTACCCTCACCTCCCAAGTGCTGGGATTATAGGTGTACGACAGACACAAGGCCCGCTTTCTGCAGTACTGGGACTGAACCAGGGCTTGGTGCCCGTTAGACAAGGACTCTACCCACTGAGCTACACCCCCAGTCCTGTGCGAGAATTAGAACAAGTTATTTTGGATAATTAAAAGCTGGTTTTAAATATTACACATACTACTAAAAGGCAAAAGACTGTAAATCAACTAGCTAATGCAGGACCAAAATGAAAATAAAAACAATCGATCCAAGAGAAGGGAAGAAAGACAAAAGGGATTTCAAAGCAGGTGAACCAACAGTGTGAACAGGGAGCAGACATCCAAGTCCACACAGAATAACCTATCTAAATAAACACAGCCCAGCTACAGGGCATAAGAAAAGAAACAGGAAAACACGGACACTGAAATAGAAAAGACAGAAGAACGGGAAGACTAAAAATGTAAAAGAAGGACGGCTGCTTATATTAGCAGCAGACAAATCCCACCGCACTGGAGAAAGCGAAGGGCCATACTCCAGGAGCGGAACGGGACCATTCCCCACCCCCTCTGTGTGCACACCTGGGACAGGACTCAACATGTTCCAAGTCCAAGCCAGAGCGACCAGAAGGAAAGTGATCCATGTCTACATAACTGACGCATCAAAGGGGACATCATGACGATTTCTATCTTTTGAAGTCAATGATGCTGTCAGTACAGATACCAGCAGGAGCTCACAAGACAGCTAAAACTTCTGAACATAGGAAATATACTGATATATTGACTATTAACATCAAGAGATTAGGAAAAGAGAAAATTCAATCCAACAAAGAAGGAAATAAACAAGCTGTCAAGAGATTTAAAAAGCAAGAATTTAAAACCTGATCTGCCTTTAACAAGACAAGGAAAGACATTGAGAGAAGGCCACTTTACTAATGGCAGTGTTTGGAAGTGTTCATGTGAGGCACCTAAGTGGGTTTTCTTTGTGTTTCTCACTAGAGTGTATAGTACTCCAAGTGTTAAGGCAGCATCAGGACAGATACTATCTCAAAAAAAACCAAAATTGAGCTGGGCAGTGGTGGTACAGGCCTTTAATCCCAGTGTTCGGGAGGCAGAGACAGGTGAGTTTATGAGACTCTGTGAGTTTGAGGCCAGCCTGGTCTACAGAACTAGTTCCGGGACAGCCAGGGTTATATAGTGGGCCCCTACTTAAAAAAAAAAAATCAAAATTGATTAAAATTTGGAAAAGAAGAAATAAAAATGTTATCATTTGACATGACTGTGTTCGTATAAAATATAAAATAGGAATTCATTAGGGAATGTAAAAACTAGAGTACATCAAATAATTAGAAAGTGATACTCCCAAAAGATGAATACTTACATCAAAAGCAATAACACTATGAAGTAAATACGGCATAACAAAAGATGAACAGGACTGTATCCCTCAGACAACAATATCCCAAAGAAATTAACAAAAACCTAAAAACAATAGGAATATACCATAGCCAAAGGAATGGAATACTCTAAATTC